CAATAAAACACTTACTTGATCTTTCAAAGAAGAATTGTTCCCACAATGGTAAGAATTGTTCCCACAATGGTGTGAATTGGTCCTAGAATGGTGTGAAATGTTCCTAATAGAATGGTGTGAATTGGTCCTAGAATGGTGTGCGTTTAGAACAATTTTTTGGTTTTCATTTAACCTATTTGTCAAAGAAGGACCAAGTGATTGCCCCGTGCTGTCACTATTTCCAGGAGTATTATTTGCAGATGAATTTTGTGATGGAGGGTACTCAATTGGACCTTTTGGTGAATCTGTTTCTTCACGTAAATATTCCCAAAGTTTATTATTAGATTGGTGTTTTACTGCATCTTTGATTAGTTTCCTGTATATTCAAGCAAGAACATATAAACAAATCAATACTGTAATAAAGTCATAAAGCTTCCAATAACTTGAATTATGATTTAAGGCTGAAAGCATACCTCTCTATATCTTCAAAAGCTATTTGGTTAATGTTGAGATCTTTGTGTGGCTGCTCCAATGGATCACTTTCTAAGAAATTGACTATATCTTTTATAGATTTAGCTGGTGGGGCTTCAACATGTTGATGATGATGATGATGACCATGATGACCTGAAGGTCGAATATGCTGTACTTTTCCTTTTGATATAACATATAAACTGCATGTATCAGGTAAGGATTTTGCTAAAGTGGCTGACACATCGTCTTTATTAAATCTCCTGTAATAAACCACACAAAAACCATAAAATTCAATACAAAAATTGCTAATATTTGCATGTGAATGTTCGTGTGAGAGAATAAATTACCTTAGAATAGAACCCCAGGAAGAAGTAGCAGCACCAACAACTAGGGTGCTGATACAATTGTCATCAACGAAAGCAATGAGTGCACTTGTAACATCAAGGTCGTGCAAGACCAATTCCTTTGTTGATATCTGAAATGATCAACATCCATAATAGTAATTATATATGATACACAAGTTGATACAAGATACACTGAAATACACGTCACACACCCCTTTTCTGGCACAAAATCCTCTAAAGGGAAGAAAGAACTGGTGCAACTCTTCTTCAGTTGGTGGACGACCACTTTTGGGTGCATCATTAGTATTAGTATTATCAGCTGCAGAAACCAAATTTCAAAAGTCATTGTACATAAGTGATGATAAACATGCTGAATTGGACTTTAGTCTAACTTAACTCACAACATCAATTTGTAAAATGAGATTTACATGCACTTATATATTTTAAATTTGTTTTATTTCTACTACATGGGACTTCCAACAAAAGAAACCTACCTTTAGACTTTGTTTAAAGTAAAAATAAAAACAAAAAAGAAAGAAAATTCTGTGTATCAGAATTATATGTGAAAAGTGCATATTTTCTAAGGTTGAAAAATTAAAAAGGCTAAGGAGAAGGTACCTACGGTTAAGCATGGTCCTAGTTCGAACATGAAGAAGGATGCATGAGGAGTTCTTCTTTAGGAGGTGTTCCACAGCCCATTTGACAGCACCATTGCTATGTCGACCTCCGCTTACTGCGATCACGGTGCTGTCTCTTCCGATTACAACAGGTGTTGGAGTTTTGGAAAACATGATCGGTAATGGTGCCTCGCGTTGGAATGGATTATTGAAGAAACTAGATTATTTGAGACACAAGGAACGAGGTTATTATGTTCTCGTAAAGTTTCTTGTTTTATAAAGCGAACTACCATGATCTGGTGGGAACTGTAGTATTAGTTGGAGTTCCATTTTTAGCAATCCTTGTGTCTGCATGTAATGTGCCTAAGTTTAGTTTTAACGTTGGTTGTCAATGTTATTTATAAATTTAGATAAGATTTAAAAAACAAATATTAGTTTGAAGTTATCAACATGTAGCCAAAATTAGAATGTTACATAATCATGGCGACGAAAACATTTTATTATGCTTGTTACAAAATTAAAAAAATAATATAAAAATAGTTAAATTATTTTAGAGTGTCAAACGAGTATGTTATGTCCTTTTTTTAGTGTAAAGAGTCACAACTCTTTATTTTATCACTTTCACCAGTTTACTTGAATGTTTCTACATATTTATAAATGTTTTATTTTATTTTATTTGTAGAGATTCTTTTAAATTTTATAGATTACAGAATTGTTAGTTTGAGACTTTTTAAATAAGATTATCTTAGGTATTATTATCAATTTTAAAGTTCATCAATCATTTCCCATCATAGAAAAATTTATTAAAATAGAAAAATAAAATGAAAGAATACAAAGCATTAGAAACCACGTCAAACTCATGATAAAAATTATACTTCGAGAAACATAGACAAATACCTAATATAAAAAAATCTAAATAAATACATGTAGGTAAAAAGAATTAAACTACTTATATTGTTCTCTGTATGTGAATGAGAGTTAAGTTAGCTAACTTATAAACAAAATGATTTCCTTCACGAAAAACGTGAAAAATTTTGAACTACATATATGTAAAAAAATATAAGCACTGATGTCATTTTCCTCTAAGACTCAAGGAACCACTCCTAGATAAAAAAAACATGACATACTAAAGAAAAATCATTTTCTATCCAAAGCCTATGAAAACCCTGTCTACAAGCATGCTCCATAGCACAAATAGCCCCATTAACTTTGTGTAATCATAAGTTTTATATTTAAAAAAGTTAAAAAACTACTCACATATTCACCTCGACTTCCTCTAAAAGTACTAGCACATGAAGTCAAACTAGAACAACCCCTAGTTGGACCATCAATATCCACCTCAATTAGCATATGAATCTGTGTCATATTAATTAAGTGCATAAACAAAATCACCATACATTTCCTAGTTTCAATATTGAAAAATTTGAACACCGAAAAATAAGAGATAATATTACTTTCTAACCATTACTCCTAAGGAAACACAATTGGATTATGAAATATACCATCATCCTCCAAATTATCTAAATAACTGCAATAATCACTTTAAGCAAAAGACTACAAAGAGATTTCATAAAGTTAATAATAAAATCCAAAGAAGGAAATTGTAATTGAGTATGAAGTGGACACCTCAGGATAAGATGATTGAAAGTGATGTGTGGGTAAGATGATTGAAAGTGATGTGTGGGGTGTTGTTGTTGTTCTGTATAACTGTATGGAGCTTTGAACTGGTATGTCTATCCCTACACTCGAAGCACTGTTCATCCTCAAATAGAGGAGAGCAGTGTAAGTGGTGAGAGTAGAGGGAGGTTCTCGTCTATAGTCTTAGAGTTTAGACATAGAAAGATGGGGGATTTACCTTACATAGTGTTGGGGAGTGTCAGCTGAACTACGCAAGTGCAAAGACGACCAATAGTTCGACATTTATACCAATCCGGATGAGTCGTGTGAGTGGTTGAGTCATGGTTTAAAGTGGTATGCCTTGATTGTTCTTTATATGTAGCTAAGCACGATGATATTTATTGATTGAACTATATGATTACTGCTTGTTTATCTAGCTCACCCTTGCTTCTTTGTTGTGTGTTGCTTTTGTATGTTTTCCTTTGCGATGATTATCCACTTGGATGGGAGCAGATGTTGTTGAGGAGGTTCCCTTGGAGCAAGAGTTGGAGGATGATGATCATGCAGTATAGTATTTTTAGGATTTCTAAATTTAAGTTGGTGTTATTTTGAAGTATTCTAAACTGTTTAAGTTTTAAGTTCTGTCCTTTTGTAGATGACTGTAATATCAGCTACTGAACTATTATTCTACTCTGACTATTCTCTTTATTATTCTCTTTATTGAAATGTGGACGCATAAGTTATATGATTGTGGTTATTTATATATTTGGGATGCGACAGTTTTTACCAACAAAACCAACTTTTATCTCTTTTAAAACGTTTAATTTTTAACTGTTTTACCGTTGAATTAACTACACTTATCAATTATCATTCTTAATTTATGTTTTATTTTTAAAATTGTGAAATTCATTGTTTTTTTTCTGAATTACAATTATAAGTGTATTTGTTCTTTTCAGTTGAAATTTTAATTTTATAAAATAGCGAACCATCACCAAATTATATTATATATGTTAGATTATGAATAGATTTTAATACATACTCCAGTTGATTAAAAATCGCAATAAAATAATTGATTCTGCAATCATACAAGTTGAAGATGAAGGCGAAATAATTTATTTTATGATTTTTGTCAAATCACTTTCTTTTATTTGCTGGCCTTTTCTTCATATGAGAATAAGACACTGTTTTCTGATTTAGTATCTTGAACCATGATTTGAATTTTTAATTTATTAGCATTCTTATTATTTTTTAAAAGACTAAATTGACTTTTTTGGTTAAGTTTTTCATCAAATCATTTGAAAATATAAAATTTCGAGTTAAAATAAAAAATCATAGAAAAAAATATAACATTAGTCTTATTTATTAGATTATTTAATGTGATAAATAGCTAAAAATTTAATAAAAAAGTACTGTTTATGTTTTATAAAATTTATATATTTATTTTATTAAAATGTAGATATATAGTTATTTTAGTAAAATAAATATTAATATATCTTATTTGTAAATTAAAAATATATTTTTAATATTGTTTGTTTATAGTTGATAATGATTGGTGAAATTAATATATATTTAATATTAATATTAAATATATATTTAAGAATTTTAAAAACTTAATATTAATATTAATGTACTATAAGAAAATCAATAAATAACAATTAATTTAGAAATAAAAATAATTAATCTTCTATTAACTAAGTTAGATATTATTTATAAACTAAAATTAATGGTATCCAAAATAATATCCTTATTAATAAATATAGAAATATTTATGATGTTGAATAAATTATTTACTCAAAATATTAACTACTACTCAAACAAATTTTAAATATTTTGCTAATATTAACAACCTTCAATAGACTATTAACCTGATTATCTACAACTAAATTAAATTATATTTTCTTAGAAAAGTAAAATCAGCGCGACGTCGTATTGCATGATCCCAAACCCAATTGTACAAGATAGTGTATTTGTTTTGCACTGCAACTGAAGAAGAAAAAAGCTAGATTTCCGCTTTGTACTATCCACTTACTTCCCAACAAATGAACAACGCCGCCATGTAGAACAGAAGCGCTTCCTGTTTCTTCCCCAGAAGCGCTTCTCTTTTTCATTTTCCTCTGCTTCAATTTCGAAGGTGAATTTTTAATTTTTATACATTTTTTGTTAAAAAAATTTCTTACTGGGGAGGAGGGGATGGAAAATTAAAAGATGGGTTTGAAGGAACTCCGTTAATGGAATATGGGTCTTTGCTATTTTTAAATAAGTTGATTTTTTTTTGTAGAAGTTTTTAAAATTGTTGTTATATTGCAGGCTTTTGGGGCAAATAATTGTCATTGTTATTATTTTTTATATTTCTATTTATGTTGTTTAAGCAAGCTAACAACTTTCCTTCTAAGGTAGTACTGATTTTGGTAAGCTTCTATGCTCATTATTCTTACATTGATTCTGAAGTTTCTGCATAATTATACTTGACTTGTGTTTGATGATTTTGGTAATTTTGGGGAAATAGCTTGAAATGCAATTAGTGACAGGGGATTGGCTGACGTGAGTGTTTTCTTACTTTTCCTTTTAGGTGATGGATCCTCTAACTTTCATGAGAAAGCAATGCAAAGTTAAACTATATTAGCATTCATAATTGGGTGTTTCTGCATGCTTGGTTATGCTGTGTGTAAATTGAAGTATCGATTGATAATTCCCTTTCTGGCGTGTAATTTTTTTTTACCCACTGTATAGATGAATTAGATGTATTCTGATGTTGAAAAATAATAGATTTTTTCATTGTTCATAGGTAGCTTCAGTTCATTTATAATATCTAAATTTGATTTTGATCATCCCGTTTTTCTCAGCTAAACTGTCTTCTTTATCATGAACCAACTATCCTCAGTATGTGGATTGTCTATCTCTTAGATGCTGAAACTGATTGTAATTTAGGACTGAAAAAATTTGGTAGGAAACTGTCCTCTCCAGTTATGTGAAATTCGGGGTTGAGATTTGAGAGTTCTTTATAAGGAGGCCAGCTTGTGTCCGAGGATATTTCTAGTGAAATGGTGGAATTCCATATCATTTTGTTTAGAATTATCGCGTGAAAAGAAAAGTGCAATGTCTAGTTTGCCGAGGGTTATATTACTATATAAAATGCCCAGTTTGCTGAGGGTTATATTACTATCATCATTAGTATTTAGTGTCAACATACTTTATCTAAAATGCCTAAGAAGCTGTTGGTTAACTGTGGTTCTTGTATTGATGCCTCAAAAACTATTATTATGCATTTCTGGATTCTTCGACACCGAACTGTTTAAGCAATATATGTACTTTAAATCAATTTTGCCCAAAACATTTCTGCGCTTGTCTTCTTACATGTAGTGAATTAGAGTATGCAAATCCCATGTCAATCATTGAACTGGAAACGGTCTTTTGAATTTGACTGATTTGTGTTAAACTATGTACAGTCTAGAGATCATTTTTGTAGAAAGTGGGGTTTAGCTCACTATTCTCGTCCAATTTTAAACCTACATCTTCCCAATTGATAGAGAGATACCTTTTAGTAAAAGGCCCATGATGTCACTGAAACTAGTACTTATTCTGCTTCATCTCTGTAAAATGCAAGTAAGTAAATTACATGTTCAATCGTTGAAGCTCTTCAGTAAAATGTTTTCATTCACTATAACCTCTTCACGAGTTTTGTTGTCTGTCTGAAGGAATGATAAACTAAAGCATTTTAGCCACTTGTGTGTTGGCCTTGAATAGCTGCCAAACTTGAAAACTACCGTTTGAGAAAAAGCTTGTCTTTTATAGCTTTTTTTTTCCAAAGGATGGTTTTCTGGTTCTCAAAGGAAGTCTAAAACCAAAAAGTACTATTAGTAGCTGTTACCAGTTAACAGATATGAAGTTACACAGGGTAACATTAGATATGCCCAGAAAAGACTTTAAAATGAGAACAAAAGCCTTTCCCTCTTTGTCAATGCATAGTTAAAAGATATATGAATATCTCAATGTAGTTGGTTTTCTTTTCGTGGAATAAGATGTAGAAACTCTTTTTCATTATGTTCTGTTGCTTCTCTTGGTTAATATGTCTTTTGTTTGTTTTGGTAATGATCAGGGACTTGGACAGTTGACATCTACTTATCATTTTTTTTCCTTTTCTTGTTTCTCTTTTATCTAAATCTATTCCCATTTACTATATGGATTATGATTCTAATGCCTTTTCGTTAAGAGAACTATATGGATTATTGTGTGAGAAAAAGTAAACTGAACCTGAGTTTAATATACACAGGGCTCTAGATGGATACAGCTGAACAAAGAAAAGACAAGTATGCTCCAATCGGGGATGCAGAGAACCCTCTACTGGGAAAATTTGATAAGCCACTACCATGTTTTGGGTGTGGAATTGGATGGTTCTCGTGAGTAATACTGTACATATTTACTCTTTCTCACTTTCTTCTGCTTGCATAGTTTGATGGTTGCATCTTCTCCTCCCCTCTCCTTTTCTTGTCAGTCTTCTGCTAGGATTTGTTTGTCCATTAATGTGGTATTACGCTACAATTCTCTACTTTGGAAATTACTATCACCAGGATCCGAGAGAGCGGGCTGGGCTTGCTGCTTCTGCAATTGCTGTAAGTCCTGTGCTTAAAAATGAGTATGCCTTAACATTTCAACTGTCAAAATTTCTACTTTACAGGTTATCCGTATTTTCTATTGTTTCGTTTTCTCTGTCAAATCTTAATTATCTTGTAGTATTTTAAAAAAAAATCTTGTTTTTAGTACATTTTTATTGGTATTGCAGGCTCTAGTTTTCACAACTGCAGCGGTGATAACAGTAGCTGTTATTGTCTTGTAAATTTTTCTATCAACTGATCTATCTCCAGCTAAGGAGGAAAACAAAAATCACTTCTAACATCTGCCCCTACATGAGAAAGGCAAGCCTGATGAACCCATGATCTAGCTCTAGCTATTAGGCACCAAAAGTTCAAAGCTAGTTCCATTTAATTATGTGAACATAGAGCTGCTTCTGCACCCCTTTTTGGTGTTGTGTGTATAGTAGACAAGGATGATATGATGTCACTAGATTTTATCCAAAAAGATGGTCCAGTCAATTTATTTTGGTGTGTATGTTTCTTGGTTTGGTAATTAGTTGCTACCTTTCAATTATTAGAAGTGAAACTATACTGCTGGTGCTGGTGTTTCTCACATTATTTACGTTGAGAAATTGCATATTTGAAAAATATGTTTGATTTTAAAAATTAGAAAGGTTGGCAAAAAAATTGAGTCAAGGAGTGTTGGAGTTTTAAAATGATGTAAGTTAGATATTGTTAGAACAAAAGTAAAATTCACTTTCATTTTTAAGTTTTTGAAGCACAATTTTTTAATTCAGAAATTTACAGTGTTTTAAGCTTATGAGAGAAATAAATAAAATCCTTCAACTTTTTAGTTTACAATGACGAGCAACTAATTTTGTATTTTGTAATACTTTTTATTTAAAAAATAGCTAAAATATACAAAAGTAAGTTAAAAGTTTGCTTAATTAATATATTATAATTTTATTGTTAGTAGAAAACAAATTAAAATATGAAAGTACAAGTGCATTAAACTTTCAATCTTTAAAAACTTCAATTTTTTTATAAAATTGTTTTAATTGTATTTGGAAATATGTATTTCATTATTCTTATAATGTTTTAAAACCTTGAGTGTTGATTAAAGAAATTAAAAATTTATTTAAAGGAATTAATAAAAGTACGAAATACATCAGTCACAAAATAATAAAAACATATAATTATACAAAGTATTAACAGAAAAATTATTATATTTTTAAGAAAAGGAAATAAAAGTTGTCAATGGTGTTATTATTAATGTTATTATTACATACAAATTATGTTAATATTAATGTTATTTTTGTTACTATTATAACACGATTACATAATTATTATCATTGCTAATGTTATTACATTATTAGTATTTTTATCATGATTGTTGTTGGTTAATTAAATTAAAGTTGAATGTTAGGTTGCACTTGCCTTGCATCTTACATAAAAAACATTTAATAATTGAAAACTTGAGACCAAAGCGAAAGGTATCTAAAATGCTCTTTCATATAAAAGGAAAATGTAAGTATATACGTTACACATGATTCTAATGGAAGCATTTGTTTTCCTACCTCCCTTTACACTTATTCACCTAATTTACACGTTTCACTCCCTATCCAACTACACTCTTATAAAACTGACATAAAAATTTATTGGTTTCTCTATTTTTGCTTTCATTAAGTTAAAAAATATTAACATTATAATATAATTTTAATTAATTTAACCACTTATCTACTCTTATGAAATTAATACATTTCATTATAAAAAAATTTGTTTCAATTTTTGTTGAATCTTTGTATAAATACTTGTCTTAAGTTTAATTTTTTTTACATTTTGAAATCTAAGTTCAAGTCTTATATACTGAGTAAAAATAAAAATAAAATTAGAACAACATATAATTAAAGTTGTAAATTTAGCTCACTTTATAGGATTTGTTTTTGACTTACGTGGATTGAGACAAAAACAATTCATAAAAAAAAAGTCACCGTTGAAAAAGTTCACAATTACCTTTTTTTTTAAACATGAAAAAATATTAATTTTTTAAAATTTACTATTAGATCTTCGGTTTAGGTCGGCTTATCTCTATTTTCAATTCGAACAGGTTTGTCCCGACCTTCAACTGTCAGGATCGACCTTTAATCTTAGTCAACCCATCTCGACTTTTGACCCTGATCGTTCCATCTCGAACTTTCGTCCTAAAACCACTAATCTTGACCTTCGACTAATTGTGGGGTCGAATTAGGGGTTGGGGTCGACTCAGCCGAATTCGATAAGGCTAACTCAGATGAATTTTGGTTGAGGCCGACTTTACCGAATTTTGGGCGGGTCTCATGTCTACTTTCAACATAGGTGGCTCGTCTCGACCATCGGTCTAACCTAATCCGTCTCGATTTGACCTAAGTAGACTTATCTACTCAATATTTGGTGTGAGTCAGTCCATTTCAACCTTCGGCTTAAGCCAAACAATCTCAACCTTTGACTTCGGCTCGCTCTTTTCGACCTTTGACCCATATTGTTGGTCTCAACCATCAACCTAGCTGGTTCCTACCGACCATATGCCCGAACTAGTTCGTCTCGAACTTTGGCCCAAGCCGACATGTCTCAACCTTCGACCCGATCTCATCCTTCGGCTTGGATTGACCTGTCTTGGTCTTCGACCTAAGATGGTTTGTCTCAACCTTTAATCTGACTAGCCCATCAAAACCTTTAGAATGAGTTGACCCTTCTTGACATTCTACCTAGTTTGTCCCATCTCGACCTTTGGCCCGAATTAGATCATCTTCATCCTCGGTCCAAGATAGCTTGTCTCAAATTTCCATTTTAAACAACATGTCTTAACCTTCAGTCTAGGTTCACCCGTCTTGACTTTCGGCCTGTCTTGGCCTTTGGTCCAAGATGAGCAGACTTGGTATTTGACCCAAGCTAAAAATATTGTTTTTAAGAGTTAATTAAAGTCTTATAGTAGGACAAATCCACATTTGTCCTAACTCTAACCCACTTCAGAGGGCCTTTGGGAGCTAGAGGTTTTCCTTTTTGCCTTCTCAATTGATGGACTCCTAAAAGGGAACATATTCAAAGTTAGGCTAGGGTTGGTCCATGGGACATGGATCAAGTTGGTAACTCTATAGAGGATAAAATTCTATAAATTCATTGTCTTAAGGTTTTAGGTCAGAGATGATGTTAATCTCTTTTGTGGGTTTGGCTGAGATCTCATTTATGTTGTTTCCCCCAATAAATTTCAAATAAGGTACAATATTGACAAAGAAACCTAGTTGTGAGGATTCCTTGTATCAAAAGTCTTGTTGACAAGGATATAAGGCGCTTAAGAGAAAGTGTACTAATGGTGAAGGAACTTACCCTTGAAGGAGATATTTTAGGAATTCAAGTATGAGTATAAATCTCACATTGGATAAATATGAGAAAGTTTAACCTCTTATAAGTTAGAAGACTCATAAACTCATTCTCTAATAAATCATCTCATCCATAGACCTATCAATATTTCATTTATACTCACATTTAGAATTCCAATAACTTTTTCTTTAAAATATTTTTACTTTCGCTAACTTAATTTTCTATAAATCATTCTTTCATTTTTATTTGAACAATTCTCAACTCTCTTCTACTGGAGATCTTACATTGACTATAGGTAAGGTAGATTTACAATATAAAAGTGAATGCAAACATCATTTTACAATTCAATTTTGAAAGGTTGAGTTAAATTTAAAGTCCATTTCTGAAGATGATATTAGTCTATCTTAACGATATTTGTTGTTTGTTGGATTTTGCCATCAATCAGACCGTTATCAAACCACTATTAATATATATTGTCACGCTTGAGATGTATATGCTTGAAATATGTATTGGAAATCTGTAACAGTACTTTTATTGAACTGTTATATATATAAAGCAACCAGAGAATATTTTGTAATATAAAGTGTCTAATAAGAGTGAACAAATGAGCAATTTCAATATCCAATATTTGAAGAGATAAGCAACAATGTATATAAACAAAAGTTATTCACATCATCCATGGCTATGCAGAACCTGATATGAAGAGAGAAAGGTAAATCAACAATTGTCAGAGAGAGAATGGAGAATAACAGAGTAGTAGAGAGGTCCATACCACACACACGTTTTCTCACTGCACAAAGTCCTTCAATAAAATATTCTCCTTTCGTTGTCTCACGCTTTTCCTATGACCTCTTCTTGCGAATCATTAGCCACGTGGATTTTTTGCCTAACAACTTTTCCTTCCTTACCTCTCTCTTCAGTATTTCCTGTGCACGTTACAATACTCACACAATCAAAAGCAACCTTGTCCTCAAGGTTGAACTGTGGAAAAGACTCCTTAATTTCTTGAACATCCTCCCTAGTGGCTGTTGAAGGTCCCAAAGAGTCCCATTGAATTAACACTTGTGGAGTCGATTTGGACTGACGCATGACTATGCGGGCTTCTAAAACCAAGAAAGGTTGTACTGAAGGACCAAACTCAGTTGTAGTGAGTGACAAGGGTAAATACTGTTGCAAAGGACTCCCAACAAATCTCTTAAGTAAAGAAATATGAAACACCGAGTGGATACGGCCCGAATATGGTAAATTGAGTTTATAAGCAACCTCACCAAGCTTGGCAATCATCTCAAAAGGGCCAAAATAACGTATACTTAATTTTTGAACTTTTCTCAAAAGGGCCAAAATGACCTCCTCTTGCGAATCATTAGTCATGTGGATTTTCTGCCTAACAACTTTTCCTTCCTTACCTCTCTCTTCAGTATTTTCTGTGCACGTTACAAAATCTCATATTAAATAGAAATGAGGTATAAGAGGTACAAACATGAGCAGCTATGGGAGATCTAAAACGAACTTTAAAACAAAACATTTTTTATTTTTAATAAAATTATTTATGTTAAAAATATATCATTATTTTAGGAGGCCTAAAATAAACTTAAAAATGATGCATTTTTACTAATAAAAAATTATTGTAAAAATTAATAGTCACTTATGATAATTTAATTAATTTTTTATTTTTAAACATAATTTTATAATTAATTTAATAATAAAATTTGTGGACTTTTTTTAAAAGGTCTAAAACACATGCTTTACCTGTCTGGACCTTAAAATAAATATAAATCTTGTTTTACAAACTAACCTTGTGAAATTGAATTAGGTGTTTAAAATTCACTTAAATTTGACTAATAAAACTCTATAACTTTTATTATTATATATTTGATATAGACTAGATATACAATAAAAAATTATAGAAAGAGTAAAACTCTTATCTTTAAAGGCATTTATCATGTATATTGAGTTGAAACACAAACGCCCTTTTGAAGGTGGTATAAATATCTATCCTAATAAAGTTGGTTTAGACCAAGAAGACACAAACCAAAGTCATTAATTCTCAAACATGCTATGCTAGAGCCTGGCTTTGGTCCTAATCTTTGCGCCAGTGCGCCAGTTATCAAACTTGACTATCAAAACGAACCCATTCTAGAAATCAACATTTTTTTAGAATGGCTCGTAACTTTAGCTTAGAAATGAGTCAAAAAAGTACAATGAATCTCCACTTTTTAAGATTGATTTTTTTTTTTGTATTTCTCATTAAACTAAGCTTTAAATTCTATTTTGGTTTCTAATTTTTTTGTTTAAGGTGGTCCACTTCTTTTAATTTTTAAAAAAATTAACTGATACGAGATCTAATGTTCATATTCCGTTAACTATTTAAACATAGTAAAAAAAAATCAAATTTACAAAAGGATCACAATTAATAAATGCAACAAAAAAAAAAGTATTTATGCACTTATTTTCTCTCCTGTCCTCATTAATCTTCTCAAGAAAAGGTCGAAGAAGGGAAATTTTGAGCCTTATAAGTTAAAAGTAAAGCGTGTATGTTTGTAATTATTTTCTTTCTTACTGAAATAACTTGGTGGGGTGGTTTTGGAAAACATGCTTTATTTCATCAGTACACATAAAATGTTAACACAAGTAATAGCTCATTTTACGCACCCAATGAAGTTTAAAGAAGAAAAAGTATATTTTGTCATAAAGTAAAAAGTGGCATTACAAGTGCTTAAGACAGACTAGGATGATAAAAGATATACTTTATTAGATGATATAATAAAGGCAAAGATTAAAAAAAAAAAAATCCCTTAGCTGATTATTAACAAGAAGCTGTATAATTTTCTCACACAAGCAACAAAACTTTCAATGTGTTGATCCTTCCAAACAACAATCACATAAACGCGCTTTCTTCCAATGGGCTCGTGTCAATCGTTGTTGTTTTTGGTTTGAAAACAAAACCGCTGTCTACGTCTCTGTTAGTTAATGCAAATACGTCTCTGAGTTATCTTTCATTTCATTCATGCATGGACGAAGAAATTAGAAGGAGCATTCTGCAAAATTAACCCAATAAATCAAGGAAAAAAGTTTAATGAAGTGAAGTCAAGGTCTTTGGAAACCTTGTTTCAAAATGCTCACATGCTTTACCACTGTTTTCTCTGTAATAGGTTGTCACATTCCACTAAACGACAAACAACACGGTATCGCCAGCAGTTTCTATGCACGTTTTCACGTTCCTAACCCACCAATATTTAACCTAAGAAATCAACCAAACCACACAAAAAAAGCAGAAACAAACCTCACACAAAGCAAAGCAGAAAAGAGCATCATCAATCGAGCAAAGCACACTTTCTTTTTTCAATTTCCACTACCCCAAAAGACACAAACGGTGCAGCACGTCATTTTAAGTCATTACACAACACAAAATGGAACAAGATGGAGACACGTGGACAATGCCACCGTTCTGGGCGGCGGAGTACCGGGACCGGCGCCGCCTACGCCGCTCTTACTCTCTTTTACGCACCTCCATGTCCCTCCTCGTACTCTTCATCGTACTCGCGCTCGTGTTCTCGCTCATCGTGGTTCCGACAGTGCAATCGTTCGCCTCCAACATCTTTAAACCTCGTACGGTGAAAAACAGCTGGGATTTTCTCAATCTCGTGCTCGTGCTCTTCGCCATTATTTGCGGCTTCCTCGGCAGAAACACCAGCCCCGAAACCCTGACCCCCCGTTCTGGTAGAACTTTTTCCAACCCTTCCACGCAGCCACCAACTTGGTACCAGTACGATTACTCTTATGGTCACACTCCTCGTCGATCGTTTAATAGGTTAAGGAGCTTCAGCTCCTACCCCGATCTCCGCCAACAGATCCCCTCCGATGAACGTTTTCGGTTCTATGATGACACTTACCTCCTGCAGCATCGGCACCCCAGGAACGATGCCGAAGAAGAAGTAAAAGAAATAGGAATTGACAATGTTGTCACCGCGTCGCCGCAACAAGGGACAGAGACTGTTCGGAGAAATGTCCACCGAGCGTATCAGGTAGAAACTGGGGAGAAACATGAAACGGATGATTTAGATGCGACGATTTCACAACCGCCGCCGGCGATTCAAACGCAAGTTGTACTGCGAAATGTCAACCGGTTACATCGATCGGAAGTTGTGGAGAAACACGAAACAAATGATTCGGCTGCGGAGGAGATTTCACTATCGCCGCCATCTACTCCGCCACCGGCGACGAGAACGCACGGTGTCCGGAGAAACGCCAAGCGAACTTTTCAAGCGGATACCATCGAGAAACTTGAAATAAAGAATTTAGATTCGCAGAGTTCACAACCATCGCCGTCGTCTCATCCGCTGCCGAGGATCCGAACGAAGGGTGTTCAACGGAATGCCAAACCGGAAAGAGATTATTCGGCTGTAAAGAGTACACCGCCGCCACCACCGCCTCCGCCTCCACAGCCGGCGGAGGCAAAGACAGGGCAGGTTAAGAAGAAAAGAGGGACTGCTACTATAGAGTTCTTGACATCTTTAAGAGGGAAGAAGAAAAAACTAAGGCAAAGAAGCGTTGAAAATTTTGAAAGCATTCTGAATTCTGAAACGTTATTGCCACAACCGCCGGCACCGCCGCCCCCGCCACCTAAAGTTTTTCAGAACTTATTTTCTTTGAAGAAAGGGAAACACAAAGCCACCCACAATGTTCGTGTGGCAATAACAGGGGAATCAAACAAGAGGGAGTCTGGTTCTTCCTCTGGGTTGAAAAATAAAGTGATGATGGCCGGTAATGAGTCACCATTAAACCCTATTCCTCCGCCGCCGCCGCTTCCGCCGTTCAAGTTTCCAGGGTGGAAGTTCCGGGTGCAGGGTGACTATGTTAGGGTTGACAGCATTGGTAGTTCACGTAGTGGATCACCTGATCTGGATGAAGTTAGTGTGGACACACCAACAGCTAGTACTCATGATGAAAGAAGCCAAGTCAATAGTCCTTTGGCGACACATCGTGAAGATTCTGCAAGTGTGAGTACACCCTCATTGTTCTGTCCTAGCCCTGATGTTGATACCAAAGCTCACAACTTCATCGAGAGCTTCAGGGCTGGTCTGAGGATGGCCAAGATGAACTCAATGAATGAGAGGCAGGGGATTGGACGGTCCAATCTTGGGACCTTCACCACCCCATGAACGGTGAAGATGTTTTGCTTAGTTTATTTGATTTGTTAAACAGTTTTTTTGTAAGATAATTGTTCACACACACATACACAGGGTTGAAATTCGTATAGAGGAATAGTAGCAGTGGTTTTTGTGTAAGCAAATTCTGACTTGTAGTTGTCGGAATGCTTTTCTTTGGTTGGAGTTGTTTATGCATTGCATTTGAAATGGGCAGTTTTGGATGTTGATTTGACTGAAAGATTTTGAATGTTATTAGATGCTACTCTGTACAAAGTTGTTTAATCAATCAGTGGACAGTTTGCGTAATTCATTTTGTAGCTCACTGTATCTGTATTCAGAATGGCAGCAGATGAAAGCAACTGGAGAGAGTCTTGGTTCTCAGAGATAAACTAGGCATCTGCTGCATTTCACAAATATGAGAAGGAAGAAGTATACTGGTAAGTTTCAAATTCATTCCAAGATTTTGGGTGAACTAGAAAGAAATGTGAAGGAAAGAAAGGAAGAGAGGCTGGTAAAGATTTTTGTGCTGTTGAGTCCACAATTTTATTTTACTTCATTCAGAAGAAAGTTTTTAAGGTAAAATTGGGGTTTATCCTTCTTATTCTACAATATATCGAGTAATTATGAACTCAATTATGCATTAATTACTTCAAATAGATAGAAACATTTTTTCCTATTTTATTCATTTCTAGTAATTGCTATAATCAATTCATAGCATCTTTCTTTTCTAGCGTGAAGGCTAATCAACCGAGTATTATTAATTGATTTAAATTATTACTACAAATGATGATTGATTCAGTTTTTTGTTTTAACCAATTTATGATTATGGTGGAATCGCAATTGCTGAGAAATAAAAAGTAAAATTATTGTAAGAGAGAAACATGGTAACTGTGCCATAGTGTTGACAAGTGGCATGGTCCACATTAGCAAAATCATCTTTCCAAAAATATATCGGAATTTCATATATATATATATATATGATACACACAAACGCACAACATCTCATAACATTGGAATATCAAAATTAAAAAATTGACAGGCTGTTTGCCATGAACAGTGAAATTGTTGAGATCAAGTTCATCAATTCAAGAGAACCAAAAATTAAGAATAGGTGTTTTCTACTCAATTATAAGAAAAAAATAGTTTGGTGGCTTACATGTAAACAAATTTGAACTATTTTCACCTTTTTCAACCATCACCATATTTGACCAAAATCGTTTCCCAATTATCATGCATTTGGTGTCAAATCAAAATGAGTCCATAAAATCAAAATAATATGAACTGGTTTTAGATCAGAATACACGTTAAAGATGATTTTTAAACTAATTATTATTATTAAATCATTAATAATATGAATATATATAAGTATCTAGAAAAGTTTAAATTCATAAATATTGTGGAATCGTACAAGTAATACTGAACCAAATCCTGCTCATTCTGATTCAATAAAAATCACTTCCGGTTCGAGCTGAAGTCCCGGTCCATACTCCAATAGAACCGAATCTAATTGTACAGATTCTTTAACGGACCGATTTTTGTTTTGTTTTATGGTTTGAGAACCAACTTTGTATCCCTAAACCCTAGCTTCTGCAAAACCCTCTCTCCCCATGTCAGACCCGAAGACCCGGACCCGAGCTTACGATCCCTACAAGGATCTCGATGCTCCAATTCGAAACCTCTACCACCTCCCAACCTCGCCGGAGTTCCTCTTCGTTGAAGAGGCCCGCCGCAAGCGCCGCTCATGGGGCGAGAACCTCACCTTCTACACCTGATGCGGCTACCTGGCCGGAGCCCTCGGCGGCGCCGGCTCAGGACTCCTAGACGGTGTCAGGGCCTTCGAGTCCGGCGACACAACGAAGGTCCGAATCAACCGCGTCCTGAACGCGGCGGGACACTCGGGTCGGGTCTGGGGAAACCGGGTCGGGATACTAGGGTTACTCTACGCCGGAATCGAAAGCGGAATCGAGGCGGCGAGAGACGCCGACGACGTATGGAATAGCGTCGCAGCGGGGCTCGGCACCGGCGCACTGTACCGGGCGGCGAGAGGGGTGAGATCAGCGGCGGTAGCCGGAGCGGTGGGCGGCGCTGTCGTGGGAGTGGCCGTGGCGGGGAAGCAAGCGTTGAAACGATATGTGCCTATATGAAAGAAAGATCATCACGCGGTTAGAGTGCGAAACAAAATCTCTAATATCTTTTAATTATATCAAACTTTGAGGTATAAAGAAATAACATAGATTACAGTGTTAGAAAATGACTGTAATAGTTATGTCAAATACGGTAGTGTTGATGGTAGTGACTGAGCATCTTTTGCAGGTTGCAGAGTATTGCTTTCATGCCATGTTTTTTCACTTTTACTATGGCTGCGGGTTCTAGTGTGTAATTTATTGAGTCACCTTGTGATGAATATAGTTTGTGATGCCACTAAAAAAATTGTGATTCTTTTGCCTCTTTTTATGTGATGGGCTTTGCTGGATATGATTTTGAGTGAATACCAAACCTCATCTTCTGTTCCCTTGGTTTGCTGGAAACATTTTGGACTGAAAAATCTCATTTTGAATGTGGTTTTTTGTGTGACTGAGATATCATATCAGAGTTCATCATAGTAAATTTTGTTAGACTAATGGTACTGCATAAATACCTAGTTTCATCTGTGAGGGGTGCGATGGAATTCTTACATAGAGTAAAAGTAAATTTTATTTTTCAAACCGATTTTATGAGATAAGTTAGGCTTAAATTTACTATTATTACCTTATTCGGAAAAGGTTGTTTGTGCCTCATCAGATTTTTGATGAATTTTGGTATCTTTGATGATATATTTTGCATGTTTCATTGTTTCTTACCTTCCTCATCTCTCATTGCAGCCTTGTACTTTGAAGGTATATTAGTAAAGATGATTATGGCTTGTAATTAGAGATGATGTTTACTCTTTTATGTTTGCACTTTTGAGAGTCAAGAAAGTATTGTGGTTATAATTTATAAATGTGTTTTTGTTCAGAAAATCAATGGTGCTGCTTGGGGTTTTGATAAAATGGATTCCCAATTAAACCTACAGTAGCGGGGGGATTTTATGAAAAGCTTGTGGCAAAGCTATCTATGTTCAGACTTTTTAGATGAAAGTAAATTTTAGCTTAAAATGATACTCTAATCTTGATTCCAGGCTTCATACAAAGACTAGGAATGACATCATATTTTGGCTGATTCTCTTCCTCCCTCTGTTTGTCAGTATTAACCATAAAACTGATTTCCGGATTACTAATTTTCGGAATAACATTTTTGGAACAAAATTTCCAGAATAAAATTTTTAAAACAAGATTTTCGAAAAAAAATTATTGGAACTCGTTTTCTGGAATATATTTGCAGAATAAACTTTCTGGAATGCATATAATATCTTTCAAAATGAGTTTTTCAACATTCTTCAATATGAATTGTGTTCCAAAAACAATTTCTTGAATACATGAAATATTTTTCAGAAAATGCTTTTTAGAATGAATTCTTTTAGCATTTTTGCAGCAGCCGTATTTGAATATTTTTTTCTTGTACTGTGGGGTGCAAGAAAAAATTTATTGAGGTGCCGAAAGCAATTGCCCTAGTTTCGACCTCCTAATCAATTTAGACTTTTAAAAGAAAAAACAATTGCTTCTTGGACCCTTCAAATTTCTTCCTTGGCCAATTACTTTTTAGTTCTATAAATTTAAACAATAAAAATAGTAGTATAAATATGTACAATTAAAATTATGTGTAGGTACTAAAAATGTTTTGTCCAAATTAAATCGGATCTACTACAAAGATACGTCAATTTGATTTTTAACATAACACTAGGACTAACAGATGTTATTTTATTCCAAAATATCAGTCTTAAATTTTGATTTCATTATTTATTTTCAATCCCCTTTTTACATTGTCTATGAGTCTATTTATAAACCAAGAAAGTCCTATCTTTCATACCTATAACAAAGACGCAGAGACTGCTTCCAAATCCATCAATCACATCACACAACGCCAACAGACAAAATCTAATATGAAATTAATAGATTATTTTTATTTTAAAAGTTTATTATAATCTATAGTAATGTATCATAGATATTTTAATTTTATATACTTCTTTTATATTTTTATTTTAGTTTTAATTACATTTAAGATCAGATATCTTATAATAAATACAAATTACACATTCATTAAAAATAATTATATGTATTTAAGTCATTATACATTTATAATATTTCGTATAAATTTTTTATTTTATATTACATTTTAAGTACTACTTTTATTCAAATTAAAATTTACACACTTTGAATATAAATAAAAACAGTACAAAATATTGTACTTAAATATATTATTACATTTACATTTTAAAATAAAATGTATATACAACCTACTAACTGCTGTGGGTAGTAATAATTCATTATTATTATTGCCTTTTCCTTTTGTAATAAACTTATTTTAAAAAATTAGCAAAGAAATATAAGTCAACATTATTTATTAAAATAGACTTATTTATATATTGTGTTGAGATTTTGGTTTCAAAACGTCAAATTTGTAACATGAAATAACATTATGCATGTTGAAGAATTGGTCATAATTTAGTTATTAGAGAGTCAAATTCTCAATTGTACGGAAACTCAATTGAAATTTGTTTTACACAAAACTAACATTAGTGAGGTTTTTTTCAATATTTTCAAAATTTAATAATTTGTTTTAAAAATATTAAAAAATTCCTATCAAAACCAGACTTGCCAAAAATCAAAGTTCAAATACTTTTTCTGCTCTTCATACACTATGCACATTGTAAATTTTACTATTATCAACATAAATAATGTCGACACATCTTTATTTATGATTTTTTAGATGAGTTTGCTATAAAAAAATATCAATTTTTGATTTATTAACCTAACATGAGAACTTTCCTATCTTAAATAATTAAATTAATGATTAAATATATTTAAGATATATTTTAAATTAAAAATAATATTAATTTATGTAAAATATTCATTTTAAACCCATGTTGATATAGAACATTTCAAATAACTTTTTGAAAATAAAAATATTTTCTATTATAAATATATTACAATATATTTAAAAGTTTTTTTTTTGCCTTTAATCAACTTATATTATTCATAGTTTTTCTACTTTTTGGCCAACTTTCATTCACAAATGTGAGAGAGTAGCACATGGATTGAATTTATAAATGTCAATTTATATCGAGATTTCAGATAATAATTAATTTAATATATAAATATTTGAAAACAATACATTTAAAAAATAATAAACAATATATTAAAATAATTTAATAAATATGTAGTTTTCTTTCTTGATAAATAAAATGAAGTGAAATAAGTTGGTGAGACGTGACGGGCTTTCTAAATTACGAAGAATAAGGTTTTTAAATGTGGGAAAGTATGTGATTACATTAATACACAAGAAATAATCATCACTCGTGTTTTCGATATGATCTAAGAAAACAAATAACCAAATTATTTGAGAGGCTTTCAATTTAACTCTAGAATAAAATATTTTCTAATATTTAATTATGTAAAGAAATTTATATTATATTAGATTATTTTAATATTAACATATAAATAAAAATGTTATGAATAATTTTTATTATCTTTAAATATATCATTTTTCTAGAGTTTTTTTTCAAGTTAATTCTTTCTATTCTATTTTATTCTATGTTCATACATTTGAAGATACAAGATTATAGGAGTTGATTTTCTCAACGAGATTTTTCCAACCATTCGATTGGTTCTTTCTTTTGAGTAAATAGTTTTTATGTTTTTTTTTCTTGATTCAATCTCTTCTTCTTTGTTATATAATTTTTCTCTGTTTATATGTGTCATTATAATTATTTATATGAGTATTTATTGATTAATAATCATAATTGTCATCCTTCTTATATTTCTATACGTAAATAGAATATTCGGTAGATATTTTGATGATTATAACTATTTTTTCAAATGAGAAAAGTTAATTTTAACTAATTACTTATTTTAATTCAAAACCAATTATCATTAAGTAAAATTTTCAAACATTTTTAATGAGGTGAGTTAAATTACGGGTGATGTTTAAAATGAATCTAACAATTATAAATAAAGGAAAAGATTCTTACGGGTGAATCAATTATTCTATGAGAGTAATGAGGTGAGTTAGATTATAATAAGTGATGTTTAAATTTATAAATTCTTTAAATATTGTAGGTAATTATTAATTATAACTTTTTATCTAATTATACACTATTGCAGAAAAACATTTAATTTAGTATAATATCTTACATTTTTTGAAAAAACAAAAATCTTTAAAAATGTAATAACACTTTTTAAATTATTAACAAAGGGTAGGTACTGGTTATGAAATAACCACCAAAATTTATAATTTTATTGTTTGAACATCATAGATGAAGATTCATGTAGTGTATATAATCTACTCTTCAATTGTATCAACATTGTTCTCGTCCTTGAATGAATATTATAAGTGTTTGTACTAAACATGTTTAATCGGCATAATAGGTAACTACTACAAGATTGTTTGACTGATTATATGTCCGTATACTAAAACCGACACCTATGGTGCACCGTCTATCTTGAAATTGTTATTAAAATATGATTAAACATTTATGTTCTAGCAAGGTAAACGGGTCATTGAGCCTAAGTCCAGACCCATTCAAGACTCACAAACATCATAAATAATATTATAAATAATACCATCATCGTGATTTATTTACATAATTAGTTAGTACAAATATTATTTTGTTGAGTCACTGTGGATGAATACTCAGAAGAAAGACAAGTACTTTAGGGTGTATTCACTTTAGAGGATTGAATTGATGGGGAGTGACCGGATGAATATGAGGAGATTTAAGAGTGAATTGATTCTTGTTTTTTTGAGGAGATTTAGAGGTGAGTGAGAGTGAATTTGGAAATAATGTTTATGAAGATTAGTGTAGGATTTGACCGATTTGACAAATAAAAAAAATTATTTAATTGGTAGAAATTGAAGATTACCAAAATGTCCCTAGTTATAAAAGTAATATAAAATGATAATTGTTAATGTTATATATAATTGTAAAAATGTTTATAAGGAGAAAAAAATAACAATTAATTTTTAAAATGTAAAAATTGATAATTTATTAAATTGAAATAATAATAATATTAATAATAAATTATTATTATTATTACTATTATTATTGTTATTATTATTATTATTATTTATTATTATTATTATTATTTATATTATTATTAGGTTTAATCATTTCGGAGGTCTCTATTTGTGCAGAATCATCTCAAATAGGTTCTTGTATTTTTTTTATCCCAATTAGGTCATTTTTTCTATAAAATTGAGTCAATTTTGATCTTGCTGTTAATTGGTCTAGAGGACGTTAAATTTGGTATCTGGTGGTATGTTGAACTAACAATTAATACACGTGGCACATTTATTTTAAGTTTAAAATAAGTTATATTTA